CACTGAAAAGTTTCAGAGCTGTAGGCTTGTTGGTTCTTTCCTTTGTTAGAAAGGAGAAGGCCTTTTCTAGGAAGGAGGTGTTTGTGTCTCATCTTGCTTTTGCAATGCAAAAATAGCTCCAGTCTTATGAGTAAGTGTCATTTTTGTGGAATAGAAGGTCATCATTTTGTAACATCCTTTTGTCTTAACAAATAACACTCTTGCCTAAGACAGCCTTGCAGCTTCTCTCACTGTAGACTGTTGTTCCCGTGCCTGTTGCTGATGCTGTTGAAGTCATGTGTAAGCACGAATTATTCTGTTGCTTCTAGCCTAACATCTCTGATGAGGTTTTGTCATTGCTGTTAATGAAGTGAGCTTCTTGATGGCTCTCTTCATGCTATCCTGTTGGATTTAAAGCAATAGAAGAGTCTGGTTTTTAGCAACTCTGTTTGCACTCGTTTTCATCCTGTGTTTTCAACAACGATGGAAAAAGATTTGTGAGAATGAGCTTCATTTCAGATCTGCAGGGTCTGTAATATTTGCTGCTTGGCCTGTGATGGGGCTGGGTTATAAAGAGAACTGTGTAAGAAGAGAAGTTTCTCTTTTACCGCAAAATGCCTTCAGAACATAATTTTAGAATTTAAATCTAATTCTTTGTTGCAAAGGCTTCCTTAAATTCTGTAGCGATAAATGCAATGTAAGCACTTTTTTAATAATGTCCCATCCAAAGTTAAGGGATTTGTCTTGGGAACCTGTAAGGTGAGCAGCGTGCTCCTCACAGCACTGCAGTCCCAGCCTAGCTAGCCTGGGCAGCCAACTGAATAAAAACAAAAAACTGCAACAAAAACCATGTTTGGCTTTCACAGGCAGGCTCCTGGAGCTCTTCCTGCTTAGGAACGATGACTTTTGAACTGTAGGTAGCATGCTGACTTTTCAAAAGGCCCCAAAGTGTTACAGGAAAGGTAACCCTCTGGCTGCTCAAAGAAGAGTAGGTAAGAGGAAAAGCTCACTTCTTCCTTATTGCTTCCACCAAAAATAGAAATATGAGTCACCTGAGTGCTGAAGCTTACCAGTGTGCGTGTCTGCCTGTGTTGTCACAATAACCTAATTTCTTAGTAATTTAAGACTAGCCAGTCTTGATGGGGAGATGGGAGGAAAGATCTAAGAAGTCTTGCCAAGTTGTAATTCCTGTGACTGACAAGGCATAAAGCTAGCATCTGCAGTGTTTCTGAAATGTACTTCCCATACTGCGTTTTGAGTGATACTGTCTTTTTATATTGGGTGTCCTTGCCATTTTTTGTTTTTAAATTAAAAAAATAAAGAAACAGTCTAACCCTCCAAACTGGAAGGGCCATATTGCAAGGTGTTCTCCGTTGTTGGAAACAAGAATACTCTGACTTTAGGTTCTTACTCTCAAGCTGGTGTACTCCTGATTCCAGGCGCTTTTCTAGTGCTTTCAGGAGGACATTAAAGTGCTTTACAGACCTGAATAGACAAAACATCGTAATAAATTACCATACCAGAAAGTATGTGTGCAAATTGCTGACTGGCTGCTCTTGTGTCACTGTTGCAGTCTAAAGCCAGTTTGAAACTGAGGTGTGGACTTGTTTTGGTGTTGAAACACTTGGCTTGTTTGTTTCATCTCCTGTAGTGGGGTGAAGTGCTTAGCTATAGGACCACATATGTGTTAGCAGGATTCTGTGCTCTCCCTTATGGCTTTAGACAAAATTTCCTGTGGCGAGGAAACCTAAGGTGTGAGGAACTGCACCTGCCATAGTTACTTCCCTAGGCTTCACTGCTGCAATTTCTGGATCTTGGGCCCTAAAGCCTGCTGACTTCTTTACGTTAGCATGTCCCTCCAGCTTGTGGCATCCTCTAGGACAGTCATTAATTTAACCCTTCATTTTTATTTGATTTTAGAAGAAACAAAACTTACCGTGGCCTCACTGGGACTGTTGCCAAATAGTGCTTTTACGGGTAGGAACAAGCACAGCTGCAGGTTAGGGTAATAATTCTGTAATAGTTAATTATTATTTTGAGTTGTCATCTGTTGGTGGCCCTTTGACAGCATGTCTGTCCCCTCTTAAAATGAGATGTGAACTTCCTGGGGAAGGAAGCATACTTGTTACTGCAGCAATTCCCTTTTCTGGCAGCCCCTCCCCAGCTCTCTGTACATAAGAACTTACAAGCTGTGGCTGTCAAATTTGTGATCCCACTGGTAAACGCTGAGGTCAGTCAGATGGGAAACACTGGGCTCCAAAGCTGTTCCCGTAACCTGGAATTGAATGAATAGCAGCAATCTTCCTGTATAGTTTTTTCTCTTGTTTGGCTCAGGGGTTGCCATGACTGAGAACTTTGTATCTCCATCAGTAAGGATAGAGGATGGGGAATATCACCATTATCCACGTTCCCTCAGTTCTGGTGTGCTGTCTCCACTGAAAAATGTGGATATTCCCAAGACGTTAAAAGCTGCCCATGTCTTACTCAGGAGGTTAGCCCTGCAGAAAAGCTGTAGTGGTGCTACAGGAAATGTAATGTCTGCATTTTACTGCATTGGGAATGCTCTGTTTGGGTTTGTTAGAAGCTGCTGATATTAGCACAAGGAAAGCTTTACAGTGCTCTTTTACTCTAGACCAGTTTCGCCATCCCTCTCCTTCATCTTTCCTGGAAATGCAATATTGTGTTATAAAACTGTCGTTGGAAAAATAACTGTACAGGTACACACTCCAGCTTCCAGAAGCAGATTAGTTCACATCCTGTACAGTGTTGTTTTATCTAGATAGAAATGTTTCCGTTGTAATTTGCTTTCTAGTTATCCCAGTAGAGTATATTGCACAAGGCGGCAGGTTATTAGTGCTGTGAGAGCAGCACAGCACACCGTATGTGCCTGGCTGACGGCACACGGAAGAACGATGCACTGAGAAGGAAGGAGGTAAAAGAAATATAGTTAATTTAAAAGCATCTATTTCAGTATGTTTGCTAATGTTTCTATAATTATGTTCTTGTTGACCATTCTCTAGGTGTGCTTACATATGTAAACAAGAACTTTTTGCACTTAATTTATTTATGAAGTCTTGGACAGAGTGGAGTTGTGGCTGTGAGTCTTTCGGGCTGGGGGAGCAGGGGGTTTTTCACTGCTCAGCTAACTGTTGTACTGTTAGAACAGGCCGGTGTGTTGGGTCTGGGACTATGCTGCTAGTGACTAGATGTAAAAGAAGAGGGTTAATTTCTTGTCTGTCTATACTGAAGGGTGCAGAGATGGATCTTGTAGTAATTTTTCCTTTGAATGTGTGAGTTCAGTGAATAGGAACCCTACCGATGCTGCCACACACACACCCCCACACCTTGTAAAGATACTGGTCTCTAAAGCAGAGGATGGGTCCGATGTCTTTTTTTGTGGCTGTTGGGTTTTGGTTGGGGGTTTTTGTGTTTGGCTGGTTTTTGTTGTTGGTTTGGTTTGGGTTTTTTTGTGTTTTTTTTTTTTTCCTTAAAGCGGTCCTACTTGGAATGAAACTCTTGAAGTATTAAAAAGGAATCTCAAATTGGCTGCATGATTTTTCCCAAATTGTGGAGTTTTTAAACTCATACTGTTGTCAAGATCAAGTTTATTGTATGCTTTTGTGTTGTTATGTGAGAACATTGGTTTTGTTCTGTGCAGTGGATTTCCTTTATCAAAACAAGAAAAGGTGTCACTGGTTGCATGATTTCTGCTGACATCTTAACCCACATCAAGATGTGAGCAGCAGCAGATGTGTACTGAGCGTTGCTCACTTGCTCTTCAGTGAGCATACACAGATTTTTTAATTGCGCCTCTAAGGTAATAGCATGCAAACCCCAAAGGCAGCCAGGGCCTGGGCTGTGAGGACCGTTGCTGGCTGTTTGGGAACCTTGAACACCTGAAACAGCCTCCTGCAGTCTGAGCCCTTTTGCCAGCTTCTGAGCCATCGCAAACTTTTTTTGTAGGGAATCACGGGGCACTGGGCTGTGAGCAGCTGGGTTGGAGACCTTATGTTAAGAGTGAAGACTTCCTTCTCTCCTTCCCCCACCCGCCCTCGGATCTCTGGGTATTGAGTTTGGGGAAGGGGTGCACTTAGACATAGCTCCTCAATTTCTGTTTGGGGGGTTCACATCTTTGCAGTCACTGCAGTGCAGAAGAATAAACCCAGGCTAATCTGAGTATCTCTGTTCCAGTACCTTGAAGATATTAACTGGATTTTTGATACCGTGTATGTAATCTTCTGTCAGTCTGCCTCTCGCGATGGTAGCTGCTTCTGAATGACTTGTAATTGCTCTCACTTCACACTGGCATTTCTTCATACTAATAACTGCATTCAGGCATTAGCAAGTAAAACAGCAGAACAGGATACTGGTCGTTTGATGGATTCCACTGGAAAGGCATATGCATAATTCTGTATGAATTACGTGTAACTACAATATTTTTCCAGTGTATTTTAATCTGTCTTCTAATCATTCCCTGGTTTAGACTTAAGCTATCGGCATGTAATTATTGGCATCTGACCCAATAAACTCTCATTAGAGCATTTTTTAAAACTACGTTGGAGAAGCTCTCTCCTGTGGAAACATGAACAATGGATCATGCTTCATAGAGTTGTAGTCATGGTGTAAATGTAGATCCAGTAAGAAAGGAGGGGTTTTGCTTCATAATGACTGTTGGGCCATGGAAGTTAAAGTGCAGGTTTCCTTCCCTTGGTAGTGCATGGCATAGGATACAGATGGGTTGGGAATTGCTGTCCTTTCCTTACATTGTTTTCTCACCTGTCTAGAAAGAATACTGAGAACTTCCCACTTTCAACCCAGGCCAGCAGAGAGAACAGCCCTCTGAAAGGTTTTCACTTGCAAACACTAACAAAGCCTGCAGGTGAATTTAACAATTCAAAGCCAGCTTGAATTTAACAACGCAGTTATCCAGTAATGCTCTCGTAACCCTCTGGCTCTTGCTTAGTTCTCAGTGTACCTCGCAATTACTCTATATGTGTATATATATGTGCTTTTTACTACAGGATGCTTTGCATGTGGAATGGAAAATGGATTCAGAGTTTATAATGCAGACCCACTCAAAGAAAAAGAGAAACAAGGTAAAACGCTTACTTATTATACCATGCTAGTTCTGTGTTGGAAGCTCAGCCTCCTCGGTTTTTTTCTCTAAGATTCTTGCTTAGTTTTCACTGTTCCATCACTGGAAGGCTTTGAATAAAGCCTCAAGACAGGAAGTCCATGCTGGTCCCAAAGGGACTCTCGCTTGTTCCGCTGCCTGGGCAGATGTTTAGATGCTGTTCATGTGCAGAAAGCTGGCTGGTGACGAATGTGTCTCACCTTCTTGCAGAGGCTGAACTGTGTTAGCTGTTGCTGATGTTTGCAGTCCTGGTTATTCACAAGTGGGAGAAGAGTTCCTTGCTGCAGCGTTATTATGTGCCATCAAGAGAAGTTGCTCTGTTCTTGTGCAGTATGGATGAGCTGGGACAGCAATAAAACTGCTGCCTTGTTACGGGAGATCTGAACGGAACGTGACTTGCTTAGAGTATTGCTTGCAAGAGCACTGTGAGCTCAGACCTCTAATACTCAAAATTTTGTATTCTCTGTACACTTAAAAAATTTGGGAGGATCTTAAGGTGGTACACCTAATATTGTGTCTTAACAGAAATTACTATATGAGCTATTATTAACAGGTAGTGGGGCTTTTCGCCAGAAAGCAAACATAACTGAGTCAAAATAAGGGAAAATGAATCCTAGCCATGTGACTCTAGCCCTAAATATAGGAAGAAAGCTGCCACACTAAACAGGTTCCCAAGCATTTCCAGCCTGCGGTGACAGAAGGGATTTAGTAAGAGGAAAAATGTATTAAAAATGGCAATCCCTATCAAGTCAGCCATACTCTCACTTTCTAGTGCTGTAAGATATTTCAGTCACTGTTCCCGTGGCCAAAGCCAACAGACTGTTTTCTGTTCTTAATACTAAATTCTTCCCTAAGCAACATGTCTTGAGACTGTCATCTGTGATAGTGTGCTAAAAGGATGGGAACTCGGGCTGAAGTGCTGTTGTTCCTTGTCAAAACTCTCCCAGTCAGTAGCAGCTCTGGACATACTTCAAGGAGTTCTGTGGGGAAATGCTTCTTATGAGTCAGATTGCCTTTCCCCTGGGGATTCTGAGAGGCCAGACTGGACTGGCTGCACAGGTACACAGAGAAATCTTGTTCATCTTTCAGGTGTATTTACACCTACCTGAGATGGTCCCTGATGGAGCTTGTCTGTTTGATCTCTGTAAGCCAGTATGAAACCAAGTCTTAACCACTAGACCCTGGCTTGTCTCTTACATCCAGGAGTTCCATGAAGTTCCCCATCCAAGCATCACCTGTCAGAACTGTAAAGATAATGATTAAAGTGTTTGTTCTAATACAGATTCAGAACACACTGCATGTTCTTAAATTGTCTCAGGTTGTAGTTTGTAAATATTTAAAGACTTTTTGTTGTGGTGATCATATCTTTTCGTAACAAAATGTGCTGTCATGCTTTAAATGCTGTAATGGAGTTAAGAGGAGGATGTGGTGCAGAAGGAGGCAGTGTCCCAATCCAACTGTTCAGGAAGGAAACTCGGCAGTCAGAAGTGTCGTTGAAGAAACCACAAGGACTTGTATGAAGTCCAAGGCTTTACTGCTCCAGTGTGAATCTTTCCAGGCACCTACCTTCAGCATTGTGTAGTCAAATCCCAGCACAGATTCCTCATCTCCCTCGTCCTGTGCTTCATGCATATGGCTCCATCTTTCCATTGTAGTGCTTCCTCCCAGCTCCTCAGACATTCTTGCTGGTCTCTCCCATCCCTATTTCTGACAGTAGGTTTATCTTGAGTCCTGTGAAATTTCAACTTTTCCTCTGGCTTTGAAATGGTTTACTCATTTTCGTCCACCTTTCCTGCTGCAACCTGCCAGTGCGTGGAGTTATCAGACAGTCTTTTAAAGCAGAAGTTTGTTTTTGACTCTGCTCATCTACCTTGAAGGCCACAGTTCCAGCCTCTCTTCCTGACAATTCAGTTCCCTCGCTGCGGTGGAATGCCAAGCACCCCTCTAAGACATGTAGACAAAGCCACGCCCCCACTCAAATGTCATCAAATAGAAAAAATTAATTTATTATAAAATTCCTTGGTTGGTATTTTGTTCTTCCACTTGCACCATAAGCATGGCATCTTAGTCTATTTCCTCTGCAGTTGAGATTCTTAAAAAGAAAAAAAGCCTTTTCCTTGCCCCATACATGAGCAGCTCTCTGCACCAGCTGATCTCGTTTTCACTGGTTCCTGCAGCACTGGGTGGGGGCTTGCTGGAGCTGGGCGGTACTCTTACCTATTCCAGCAGCTCCAGAGAACAGCACTAGAGGTTCTAGTTCAGTTACATCGGTGTGCATTTTGCCTTCTCCCCTCAGATTCACCAAGTCTATAAAGACAAATCCCCTTGCAAATAAAATGTTCATGACTAGTGACTACCCGTGGTGTTTTTCTGAGTGCTGTTAGCATACTGGAACACCACTGCACCTGACATGTGCGTGTGCGAGGGGCGTGGGTTTGAGCTAGCTGGGCAGTCTTTCTAAACAGATTTACAAACCCACTGTATAACAGACATGATCAAGCTGCTGTGATGCTATTGCTTATCTCCTCTCATGCAGCTTGTTTTAATATAACTTTAAAACCTTGCTGTGCTGTTTTATATATGAAAATGAGGCCTGTCCCAGCTGTGTGACAACAGCAGTCATCATCATTGCTATGAAAAATAAAGCAGCTTTGCTGAGAGTCCTAATCTGAAACAAGACACACACACACACACACAACAAAAAAAACAAACCCACCCTTTTAGTCAGGATCTCTTGTCTGTCACCCCCACTCTTAGAGGTTTCTTTGTTTTTTTAAGGTCAGCCAGGGTAGGAAGATACCATTCTTCGGTGCCTGAGAGAAACACTTGTTAACGCCAGCTTTTCTTTTAACAGCGGTAAAGATTAGATGGAATTTTAACAGTTTCTGACCCTTCTCAATAAAATCCATTTGTCTTTCAGAATTTCTAGAAGGTGGTGTTGGCCATGTCGAAATGTTGTTTCGTTGCAACTATTTAGCACTAGTAGGTGGAGGAAAAAAGCCGAAGTACCCACCTAACAAAGGTGAGTCTCGAGGAACAGATCGTGTCAATGTTTGCTTCGCTATCTCTGTGCAACTGCTCAAGGGATTCCCAAACCAAACGCCCTGAGCTGGGGTCTGGTGATCTGAAGGCTGGGTGGAGGGGATGTTGCAGCAGGTTTAAGTAAATGTGGTGAAATAAGTTGCATCACTGCGGTTAACAGGCAGTTACCTGCAGTGACTAGTCTCTGTGGCCTGGTGACTAAGTTTCTAGTTCTCACAGTTAACTTTGCAGAGAGACTCTGTGGCTCAGCAGTCCGAGAGGGAAAAGGTCCCTGGCTGGCCAGCTCTGTAGGAAAGTACGCTGCTTTTCGTGACTGCTGCCTTATTGCTTTGGTAACTCTCAGAGCAAAACAAAAAAGCTGATTGTCTTTAGAAAAATGTGTTTTTATTATTGTCAGCTTTTGTGGTTAGAGTTTACCACCTCCTACCTGCATGAGTCACAGCCTGAAAGGGCGGGTTGATGTGTAGCAGCTGAGTACCTTCTGGTTAGGAGGATGCCAGCCTGGAACTGCTTAGCTATGGGATGCACCTCTTGATACGCCTTCTCAGAAACTAGTTGTTCTGAGGGAGACGATGTGGATCTTTGGATACGCCTTGAGGATCTGATGCAATCTCTGCACTGTTCCAGTAATGATCTGGGATGACCTGAAGAAGAAGACCGTCATTGAAATAGAGTTTTCTACAGAAGTCAAAGCAGTGAAGCTGCGAAGAGATAGGTAGGTACAACAAACGTGTTCCAAATGCGCAGCGTGGCTTTGTACGCTATTCTTTACTCATTTCTGTCTGTTCACAGAAAGAGATCCTGCTTTAGCACAAGCAGTTAAAGGTAAAAGAGGCCTTTGGGGTGTGCATTAGGTGTTAACAGGTTACAGCTCAAGCATACTGGGATCTGAGACCTTAGTGAAAAGCCTGTAAGCCTTTCTGGCCCCCTAATGTAAGGAAATGTTCCTGTGGCTACTGCTGACTGTTTTTCTAGGTGTGGAGGAGTGTGAAGGGAATTCAAGCAGATCTCTAGAGCATCTGTTAACAGCTGGAGTCTGTGTGCGTGGGCGGAGGGGTTCTGCTGTCACAGCTTTAGATAAAAGTGCTTTGGAGGCTCATTGCTGCATGGTGTTTTTTGCAAGGTCTGTTGTGTGTGAAGCATATAGCCAGTAAATCAGTTGAAAGTCTTTACAGATGTGAATTAATACCTACGTCCCTGTTTCACCTACCCCAAGTCACAGGAACTTTTTGTCTGTTTCAGAATTGTGGTAGTCTTGGACTCGATGATTAAAGTTTTCACATTCACACATAATCCCCACCAGTTGCACGTCTTTGAAACCTGCTACAACCCTAAAGGTTAGTGGTGTAAGTGGGTTGTGGGACAGAAACACCTTTACTCTGTTCTTGACATGCTACTTATCTTTAGCTGCCTCCAACAGTTACTTAGTAAGTCATTAAACTGTTTGCTTACTGCACTACAGTAATGCCCTTTGGAGATGCTTTCTTTAATAAAATGGTTATTGAAATGTATTAATATTTGCACAGAAAAGCTTTTTCATGTACTTTGGTTATAGATTTGATTTCTGTTAAGAGCTATATGCTTTCTTCTGTAACAAATTCAAACATGAATTAATAACAATCAGTTTCACTGACAGAGGAGAAACTAAAATATCACCTATTATAAACTCTTACCCTTTCTGGGCTGCTAAGGACACTTTCTTTTGTTTTTAAATAGCTTTGCTGTAACAGACTGATGGAGCTGATCTCTGAAAACATCCAGATTTTGGATAACCACAACTTTTTTTTTTTTAGATTACTTTGAAATAAAGTGACGAGAGCAAGTTAAAATTATGCTGCTACCCTACTTCTCTGTGCTCTGCACTTAGACTGATCATGTTTTGGGATACCGCAATAGCTATTAAAGTGAAATTCTGATTTACTACATGTATATTTGTTTATCCTGAAATGACTGATAGTTTAGAAACTTATGTTTGAAAACTTTATTAGGTTATGGGAACTACAGTTATTGGGTTTTTTTTTGTCTTTTAGGTCTCTGTGTCCTTTGTCCAAATAGTAATAATTCTCTTCTTGCATTTCCTGGAACACATACCGGGCATGTGCAGATAGTGGATCTCGCTAATACAGAAAAGCCTCCTGTTGACATACCGGCTCATGAAGGAGTCTTGAGCTGTATAGCTTTAAACCTGCAGGGAACAAGAATTGCAACTGCATCAGAAAAAGTAAGAATAACCTCCACCTACCTTTGATTTACTGTGCATTCCAGTGTAGTAAGGCCTTCTAAAATAGGAAGTCACATCCTGTTGTAGGAAAGACATAGAACTAACTAACTGGTATATTTGTCACTGAAATATGTGTTCTTGGTCTTTCGTTATCTTTACTGCTGCTCTGGGATGTCCAACCAGCAATCCCAATGCTATGCCTGAGGTGGTGTTTGTATCTGAGCTGACTGTAGCAGTGACTCTTGAATGAGATCTGGCCCAAGCAGTTCACGTGTTTCATGTGTTCTTCAATAAATACAATTAATTTGAAGAATACATTCTTTCACCTTATTAGTTTGTCCTTAGATTCACTTTAAAACTACTGGCGAAAGAAATACTTGCAAATAGGTCTGTCATACTGCAGGCCTTAGTTCTGCTCTGGCTCAGCTCCCGTTACAGAGCAGGAGGGAGGTGCACGGTCTCCATTTTTCTCATACACAGACCAAGATGTTTTCAATACAGAGTGTAAATGATAAAATGATTCTTGGAATATTTACCACCTTGTGTGCAGTCATACGTTACACAGGGCTGAAGCATGCAATGCACTGACAAAAACCTGAAGTTACTGCGTTGTACAAATCCCTTTGGGCTGGGCTGATGCAGGGAGAGGCAGGAAGAACACAAATGCCTGCCCTCTCCACGGGCACTCCAGTGACAGCTGCTAGTGAGCTTCATCTGCCCAAGGGCGACTGGTTCCAAAGCTCCCAAGGAAGGGCAGGTAGCTGTACCGCTCCACCTTACCCTTCTGCCTGCCGCAGGCCCAGCACTCGCTACCTTCTGCCACTCAACTGAGTTCCTCAAGGACAACCTAAATTAATTCAATGAGTCTCTTTTTAGAATAGTTTCTACTGCACAGCCTCTAGCTCTAAAAGCTTAAAAAAAGAACATAGTCCCAGCTCCATTGCTGAACAGAATAGTAACCTGCTGAATTTGTATTCAGACATTCGTTTTTCTTGTGTAGAGAAAAAGTTCAAACAGGATTTTCAAACGGAAACAGGAGTATGGCCAAACTGCCCTACTGAGCGTACTGTAAGCAAACGTCTTCAGCTTGTGTCTTAAATCAAAACTAAGCTGTTTACCAGAATCTTTCTCTGCTGGGTTCTGTTATTTACTGGTGTGCGACTGGAGAGATGCATTTGTGAACCAGGTGTATAACATGAGTCGCAGGTGATAACATATACCCACTCTTCAGCAGATGACAGTACTACTGCACTGCTGATCACTTTGTTGGGGATACACTAACTTGTTTTACGAGTTTCTATTGCAGTATTCTGTCTGTAACCTGATGTATCTGTGGGGTCTCTCAGATTTGGATCAACACAGACAATGAGCATGTGTTAAGTAATTAATTCTAGATTACTTCAACTGAACTAATTGTAAGGCAAGACTAGCCACAGCCTGATTATACTTAAGTGGAAAAAAAATTGCACAGTAGCAATCAAAGCAGACTATGGGGAGCAAGAAAGAAACAATTCACAGAACCTGGGCACAAAAGGTTGTACACCAATCTGCTCTAGTCTTGCAAACTAATGCCACGGCTGCACTAGAGCTTTAGAATATAACTTGGATGACACTTACTCAGTTGAGTAGCTAGGTAACATGATTGTATACCAAAGCATTAGAACATGGTGGTGATGGTGTGTGGGGGTGAATCAATATTCTTACCAAAAATTAAGAGAGGTTCTCTCAGGTCTACTGAGATGAAAAACCCCATTGTGTATGTAGGGGCAGGTGGTCAGACAGAATTTTAGGATGTGTTCACAGGTACAGTCTTCTGTCTTTCCTAATACAATGCTTGATTCCTTTTCAAGGGGACCCTTATAAGAATATTTGATACTTCATCAGGGCATTTAATCCAGGAGCTCCGAAGAGGATCACAGGCAGCCAATATATACTGGTATGTTTAACTGCTTCTGCTCTGTCTTCTTGGGGGAATTACTGTGCTGAGGCAGCCTAGTAAACAGCATCTGAGTCCTCTTCAAAAACTGAAGGAGAGGTACACTGCTGTGGACACAAGGCAGAACTCTCCCAGCAGTCAGAGGTCCCAGGGCTGTGCTGGGCTGTGCTGCTTCCTTTCTGCTCCATGCTGGGGAGGAGAGGGCAGCAGCTGTGTGAAGCCCAGCACAGGTGACAGGGGTTGGGACAAAACCAGATCTATGGCTAGGCTGAGTCCTCTGCACAGAACAAGCTGTGGCTGGGGGGATACACTGACTTCACACGGAAACAGGGGGAATGCGGTGATGCAGTCTGCCCCTGCCCAGACAGACCAGGATGAGTAGCTCAGGGTCAGTGGAGTGTTCCTTACAGCACTGTGCTGCTCTGCATGCGAGAGCCCAAGGCACAAGCCTGGCTCTAATCCACTGCTGAAAGCACTCTCCCAGGAGTGGGGAGACTTCTGTTCATCTGCTTAGCACCACTCCGGGGTAGGAGTGCGGCACCTTCTATCCAATACCTGCCTACTCCTGGGAGCAGAGGTGGTGCAGTTCTTCCAGCGGATGAAGGGCCCACGCTGATTGTGTCCCTCGGGGCAGTCAGGGCAGCCTGCTGCACGGCTGGCCCCAATAAACCAGGTTCTCTGTTGTGAGTGGGTGCACTCATACCTGAAGGGGCTGTTCATCCTGCCAGCAAAGCAGCACTGAACTGGAGGAGTCTAGAGGAGTCCGAGCTCCCCCAGGAGAGAGGAGCTGTTAACACCGTCCCTGCCAGGCTGGTGGCTGCTCCAGACAACTGCAGAAGCAGCATTCTGTGCACCAACAGCTGTGGGTACGTTCCAGGAGAGGTAACTGCAACTGTGTGTATTCTCTGCAGTATCAACTTCAATCAGGATGCTTCCCTTATCTGCGTATCCAGCGACCACGGCACAGTACATATTTTTGCTGCCGAAGACCCCAAAAGAAATAAGCAGTCAAGGTAGGGTCTGAGCCTTTCTGAAGCCTTTATAGGGACTGGGAGGGGGGGCTTGTCCTTTTTAACAGAGTTTAAAACACTGGTTTTGTCAAGCAGTAGCTAATATCTGCCCTACTAGAAGTGGTCAGATTAATCTCTTGTGCTTGAGAGCAGTTGCTGATGTTGGACTATATGACAGCTGCCAAGTTTCTGCTGTCCTTTGTGGAGCTGCAGAATTGCAGCAGAAGGCTGGGGTGGGTTTTCAGTGGCTATCTCTTAGCATAAACATACTTTGTAGACACTTAAAGTAATCTCTACTAAAATCAATCCTTCTAGCAGTTTGTGCAGACACTTAATTTAAAACATGAAGCCAGAAAGGCAGTTGTAGGGTCCCTGTTCCCTAGAAGGAGAATCGTACGTGTTACCTGATACTCAGTAGAACAAAATAAAAAGCCAACCAAAAATAGCAGTTAGCGTGAACACTGCAACTTGCTCAAACACAGCAGCAGTTCTACATCAACTCTAGTCAACACCTTACTAAGTTGTTACACTTCTTTTTTTTTATCTCTTTCAGTTTGGCTTCTGCCACCTTTCTCCCCAAATACTTCAGTTCCAAATGGAGTTTTTCCAAATTTCAGGTTCCCTCAGGCTCTCCGTGCATTTGTGCCTTTGGAACGGAGCCAAACGCTGTCATAGGTGAGTAGTGGAGGCTTCCTCAGGTTCTGTCTGGAGAACAAGGTTTCGAGCTACACGGGCTTTGAGCTGAGGGGATGCCGAGATGAGGCAACATTGTATGTGTCACCTCAGCCGTGAACAGGAGCTCCTAGTGCTCAGCGCTGCGCGGGTGTGAGATCAAGCAGTGCCCCGGGGGAAGGAAGGGAGCAAGCCTGGGTGCAGCGCGGGGTTGTGCTAGCTGACAAGGGCACAAGGACTGACTTAGCTCAGGTTCCTCCAGAGCAACTCCCTGTACGTTCCATTGGCTTGAAAGGTCAGTTTAAGCTCCAGGGGAAGGAATGCAACAGTACCTCTGGAACAGCTGAACTGAACGTGACTCTGTTTTTGTTTCAGCAATATGTGCAGATGGCAGCTACTACAAGTTCTTATTCAACCAAAAAGGGGAATGCTCAAGGGATGTCTATGCTCAGTTTCTAGAAATGACGGATGACAAGCTTTGACTGAGTCGAGGGAGCACATGGGTCAAAGTACGGCCTTAGCTATTCCACATCTTTGGAAGGACAGTGTATGAATGTCCAGTACTGATCAGGAAGTTTAGCAGACCTCACTGAGAAGCCTGGCCCAACACAGTCGGAACAAGCTCTGAAGTAGTGGACTACATATGTTTATTCTAATTTCTGCAAGTATTCATCATTAAAATCTCTTTGGGTTACTGTCATCAACTCAAGTTTTCAAGATGTGGCTTTCAATAAGCTTCTACCTATTGGGTTTCTCTTAATCTAAACTGTGAAATGACTTCAGATTAAACATGAGTGCCTGCCACACTGAAAGATCTGCAGGGGGCTGTACAAATGTACAACTAGCCTTAGAAAAAGGGATGTGAAAAGAGAAGATTTTAGGCATTGCATTACTTCCACTGAATGGCTGGGAGCAGGGGGGATACTATGGATCATGCTCAAAAAAAAACTCCACCAGCTTGGCCAGGAGCAGGAGTACCGCCTTCCCCTGTCCCCTGAACACACCTTAAGAGTCAGAGAGGAGAAAAGATGGCAAGTGCATAGCCATAGACATCTGTAGCTCAAATCATGCTTGTCCTCCAACAAGGTCTACAGGGTTGGGTGGGGTTAGTCCTGTGGCCACACTGCTGCTCCCATGCACGTACCGGTGTTGGTTGAGTGATCAGCGCAAACTGTCAAAGGTGCCAAACTGTATATAGTAGCTGAAGGCACATTTAGGCACGGGCTGACCCAGCTAACCTCTCCTCAGAGCCTGGAGCAAGCACCCCGGGCACACGGAGCTCCTGTATTTACTGTAGACGCAATTCCTTCTGTAACAAAACAGCCATTCCAGGTTTAAAAACCACCCTCGGTACTGGCTGCTTCTGACACTGCTGTGCTTCAACTGGAAGACTGGACAGGCCACTTACACATCCAGCACAATAAATGAATGAGGTGGCATGAAGTATACTTCTCTGCAATGGCTTTAAACCTGCAAACTTTTCTTTTTTTTTTTTATTTGAGATGTTGCATACTAAATACTGTTGGCCTAGGGACAGTTAAGTTAGACTAAACCGACTGACTTGTTTTCTTTCCCAAAATCGTTATATGGCAATTAATATTTACTGCTGAACTAAGACACAAGATACTAAAGTAGAAACTGAAACAGACACAAGCTCTCCGTTCATAGCACTAAATACCTGACGGGGCGAAGTCTTGCTCTTCTGGAATTTAATTTCACATCTTCAAATCTGACATGCCAGTTCACTCTTAAGACTGTTTAGCTGCAAACTAAATTTGACAAGTTTCTTTTAGTGTCACGTAACATACTAAGGACTAACTTCTACGCAGATTTTGATGTTGAGGTTGCATGTTGCTTTTATGTGTATTTAATCACATAAATTGTTTTGCACTTATTTGTAATATGTTATTTCTTTTAAATAAAAGTGACTAATTTTTGCTGTAGTCAGTGATCATCACAGCCAGAGTTCTTACTCCCATTCGTTCTGGGGAATAAATACGTTAACTAGTTACTGGTGCAGAACAGGAATTGAATTGTGCTGCCCGGGTCATGTATACACAGAACAGAAGTACACAAATTGCTGCCTGGGACACGGCTGGTATTTATACCAAACCAAGTGCAACTCCCAGTCCAAACCAGTTCTTGTTCAGCACTGTTTACCACACCATCCACCACAGCTGCTCTTCTGAAGCTTCTTACCTTTAACAGCTGTACAAGTAGCGTGACAGGCTGGAAACCGCCATCTCCCTGGGGAAGTACGTGCACAGGAAAGCATTAGGAGCCGTTCTCCAAAGATGATGTAAATCCTCTCTCCCTGGTGCAGTTGTAAGCTGTTTATGATCCAGGCAGCTGCACTCACTTTAAACAGCAAGGAAACTACTAACTAAAACATTAAGCCTTCTGCCCAGCGCTTTGAAGATTTTACATATCTTCATCTGCCAAAGCACCATCCCCCTGCCCTCCCGTTACAGTTATCCCACAGCTGACCAGAGACTATGAGCGTATGTCTGGATTGACTGAAACTCTGATGAACTCGTAAAACTTTCCCTAAACATCTGTTCTGGGCTGAGAGTAAGAATGAAAATAACACTAACCGCACACACAGACAATAGTGCTGTACTAATGAAGAATCCCTTTATACATACCTCCATATATGAAATCTCTAATACCTGCTGCCTGTACTAGTCACAGATCCTTAAGTATACAGGCTGATACAGGGATCAAAAGAATGTCTTCCCCCTGGTGCTGGCTCCAGGTTGCCCTGCCAGTACTTCATCACATCACTTTCTGCTGCACTGCATCATGGAGGTAATTTTAATCAAAATTTGCTTTAAGTGGGGTAGTGGATAAACACCTCTACAATCAAACGGAGTAGTATTCAGGTTAGTCACCTTTCTGGAAAACAGAGTACTTGACACATTTGACAGACCACGTATCTCCCATGCTGACTGACGGACAATACTGCATGGCCACGGCGTCCAGTTACACGGTGAAGCTCAGAACCGAGACTGGCAGCAGCACTCACCTGCGCTGTGGCACATGGCAGTAACGCTCACTTGTGTTTTGGGCCTCACACAAAGACCCCGTCTTCTCTGGGCTTTCCTCAGAGAGCAGCACACACTTAACAAAAGCCAAGCTTTCAAAGACAAGCAGCCAGTCACCTTTTGAACAGACCCCTGCTCTACACAGGGCTGCAGAGTAAAAGGGGGGCAAGGCAAGCAGTCAGAAGTCTACTTTATGGGACAAAAGAGGATTAAATAGATTTTAAAATGTCAAGTTGTTAGCTTAAGATGAATAGTCCAGAGGTCTAATAGCATTTATTCCTTTAAGTACACTCTTAGCTAGAAGCATGGCTTTGGGAAACGGCAAGAGAGCCCCACGGACTGGAAGGGAAACAGGCCAGTGGTGCAGACAGCGTTAATCTGTGAGGAAATGGCAGAATTTGCACAGTAAGTCTAAAATATGACCTTTCCTGAAAAACAATGTATTTCCACCAGCATCAGTGTGCAGATTCTTAATATAATTTGTATTTAAAAACAACTAAATGCCTTCTCTCCTCCTATTCTGCTATCTCTTTCTGCAGCACATGTGTCACAGCTCAAAATCCTGAAAAGAAAACTGAAAGATTAGCCAGGACAATAAATTCAATAGTAATGCCAGGGATTTGGCAGCAGGAGCCACAGAATACGAGTATTTCTTCCAGAACCTTTAAGTATGCACATTATGGTAGAAACCACCAGATTAATCAGTAAAGTTAGAAAACACAGGACACAAGGCTAGTTCTTACGTATGTAGGCCAGGAGTGTGGCAGACACTGCTGACCTAAATACAAAGGCTACAGAACACATGCTTCAAAAAGACAGTCTTGTTTTGGAGTCACGCACTAGTGAATCTTCCTCTCTCTGGTGAAGCCATTTCAGTGCCCCCTTTTTACTGCGGGTTTTTTCTTCTCCCCCAAAGGTTGTATTTGTTTGAACAAGCCCATGACTATTCTGGTCTGTAAGAGAGCCGGTGGAATTTCACACAATAGTCCATTCTTTTTGTTAAAGGAATAGGTTATGCTCTTTCAGCTTCATATATGGCAGCCCTTTACTGTAATTTCGTAGCCTGCCTTCGATTTCTCCCCAACACTTCTTGAAAGTATTGAAATGAAAACCCAACCAAGCATTGTAAGTTGTTCGAGAACTTCAGACAAAAGCATTTCCCCAACTCAGATGAGAAACAAAAAGAACATAACTAATGCATAAAAAAATTATCAGAAACCAAACCAACATTAATGAAAATTATTCCAGGAAGTGCACATCTCATTAAACTTATTTAAAAAATAATAATCTATCTGTTAGTATGGCAGTCTGTGCTAAATCAATGCATCTATGGCCAATGTTTTTTTAAAGTCAAATCACTGAACCAATGCAAACCCCTGGCTACGTACCTCAAATCAGCCCCAGATGCTAACACAACGAGATTCTCTGATACACACCCCCACACACACCACACCATTCTTAATTCAAGTAAAAGCAGGAGGAAAGCCTGTTTTCATCTGCCAGTCCACAAGGAAGATCAAGAACCTGGTGGCTAAAAGCCACCGATGCACTTACTAACTTCAGACTTTATCAATTAATTTTGTGTCAGACACAACGTAGGGTTCTCAGTAAGAAAGTTAAAACTATTTAGTTAAAGACACGTGTATAGAAAGGGGTCAATCAGGTTAGTAGAACGCAGCACTCAATTTAGTGTAAATGAGATCTATATAAAAATACATATTCAGATGTGCACATACATATAAAATCACATGCTATTCAAAACCACAACTCAACCCATATTAATGACTACTAACTACTCAAAATTTACCTTTTGGAGGAAATGAAATCAAGATACAAAACCTAGATTCAAACACAGATTGTTGACACTTCAAGTTCCACTTTTGGATTAAAGCAATGATAAACCCCAACATTTTCAAATGAACCTGCCTTGGAACAACCGTGCAAGCAAAGGCAAAGTCTTCCCAGTTTTGCCTCCCGTGCAGCAATCTGTCCTGTGGAGTGGTTTATGAAGCAGCAGTGCTTTTGCAGGTATCTTTTGGGATTATCTTGGCACAGGGATTTATGTAAATCATCAAAATTAAAAATGGCATCACAGAGATGCTCCCATTGCGATCAATGTGTTTGCAATGTGGGCAGGGGGAAGCAGCAGCCCAGGACTCAAACTAACCACACCAGTCAAAAAGAACTGGTCTTTCATGCCACTCGATCCACAGTCCCCTCTCTGTTTTGAAGATGGTGTTGCTTTGCTGGATCATGCAATACCTACCGCTGCTGTTACAATGGCCAGCACAAAGGCAAAACTCTTGCATCCAAAGGCAAGAATATCCCACCGCCCAGGAGACCATGCTGCTGCCTGCTCGAACCTGCTGTGACGTGGGGCCACTGCCACACACAGCTGGATCACAAACAAAGCTGGCGTAAGGACAGG